GTTACCTGTGTGTGTGTGTGGAGCGTGGCGTTACCTGTGTGTGTGTGTGTGTGGAGCGTGGCGTTACCTGTGTGTGTGTGGAGCGTGGCGTTACCTGTGTGTGTGGAGCGTGGCGTTACCTGTGTGTGTGTGTGTGTGGAGCGTGGCGTTACCTGTGTGTGTGTGGAGCGTAGCGTTACCTGTGTGTGTGTGGAGCGTGGCGTTACCTGTGTGTGTGTGGAGCGTGGCGTTACCTGTGTGTGTGTGTGTGTGTGTGGAGCGTGGCGTTACCTGTGTGTGTGTGTGTGTGGAGCGTGGCGTTACCTGTGTGTGTGTGTGTGTGTGTGGAGCGTGGCGTTACCTGTGTGTGTGTGTGTGTGGAGCGTGGCGTTACCTGTGTGTGTGTGGAGCGTGGCGTTACCTGTGTGTGTGTGGAGCGTGGCGTTACCTGTGTGTGTGTGGAGCGTGGCGTTACCTGTGTGTGTGGAGCGTGGCGTTACCTGTGTGTGTGTGGAGCGTAGCGTTACCTGTGTGTGTGTGGAGCGTGGCGTTACCTGTGTGTGTGTGGAGCGTGGCGTTACCTGTGTGTGTGTGGAGCGTAGCGTTACCTGTGTGTGTGTGGAGCGTAGCGTTACCTGTGTGTGTGTGTGGAGCGTGGCGTTACCTGTGTGTGTGTGGAGCGTGGCGTTACCTGTGTGTGTGTGGAGCGTGGCGTTACCTGTGTGTGTGTGGAGCGTGGCGTTACCTGTGTGTGTGTGTGGAGCGTGGCGTTACCTGTGTGTGTGTGGAGCGTGGCGTTACCTGTGTGTGTGTGGAGCGTGGCGTTACCTGTGTGTGTGTGTGTGGAGCGTGGCGTTACCTGTGTGTGTGGAGCGTGGCGTTACCTGTGTGTGTGGAGCGTGGCGTTACCTGTGTGTGTGGAGCGTGGCGTTACCTGTGTGTGTGGAGCGTGGCGTTACCTGTGTGTGTGTGTGTGTGGAGCGTGGCGTTACCTGTGTGTGTGTGGAGCGTGGCGTTACCTGTGTGTGTGTGGAGCGTGGCGTTACCTGTGTGTGTGTGTGGAGCGTGGCGTTACCTGTGTGTGTGTGGAGCGTGGCGTTACCTGTGTGTGTGTGGAGCGTGGCGTTACCTGTGTGTGTGTGTGTGGAGCGTGGCGTTACCTGTGTGTGTGGAGCGTGGCGTTACCTGTGTGTGTGGAGCGTGGCGTTACCTGTGTGTGTGGAGCGTGGCGTTACCTGTGTGTGTGGAGCGTGGCGTTACCTGTGTGTGTGTGTGTGTGGAGCGTGGCGTTACCTGTGTGTGTGTGGAGCGTGGCGTTACCTGTGTGTGTGGAGCGTGGCGTTACCTGTGTGTGTGTGTGTGTGGAGCGTGGCGTTACCTGTGTGTGTGTGGAGCGTAGCGTTACCTGTGTGTGTGTGTGTGGAGCGTGGCGTTACCTGTGTGTGTGTGGAGCGTGGCGTTACCTGTGTGTGTGGAGCGTGGCGTTACCTGTGTGTGTGTGGAGCGTAGCGTTACCTGTGTGTGTGTGGAGCGTGGCGTTACCTGTGTGTGTGTGGAGCGTGGCGTTACCTGTGTGTGTGGAGCGTGGCGTTACCTGTGTGTGTGTGGAGCGTGGCGTTACCTGTGTGTGTGTGGAGCGTGGCGTTACCTGTGTGTGTGGAGCGTGGCGTTACCTGTGTGTGTGTGGAGCGTAGCGTTACCTGTGTGTGTGTGGAGCGTGGCGTTACCTGTGTGTGTGTGGAGCGTGGCGTTACCTGTGTGTGTGTGGAGCGTAGCGTTACCTGTGTGTGTGTGGAGCGTAGCGTTACCTGTGTGTGTGTGGAGCGTGGCGTTACCTGTGTGTGTGTGGAGCGTGGCGTTACCTGTGTGTGTGTGGAGCGTAGCGTTACCTGTGTGTGTGTGGAGCGTGGCGTTACCTGTGTGTGTGTGTGTGGAGCGTGGCGTTACCTGTGTGTGTGTGTGTGGAGCGTGGCGTTACCTGTGTGTGTGTGGAGCGTGGCGTTACCTGTGTGTGTGTGGAGCGTAGCGTTACCTGTGTGTGTGTGGAGCGTGGCGTTACCTGTGTGTGTGTGGAGCGTGGCGTTACCTGTGTGTGTGTGGAGCGTGGCGTTACCTGTGTGTGTGTGTGTGGAGCGTGGCGTTACCTGTGTGTGTGTGGAGCGTGGCGTTACCTGTGTGTGTGTGGAGCGTGGCGTTACCTGTGTGTGTGTGTGTGGAGCGTGGCGTTACCTGTGTGTGTGTGGAGCGTGGCGTTACCTGTGTGTGTGTGGAGCGTAGCGTTACCTGTGTGTGTGTGGAGCGTGGCGTTACCTGTGTGTGTGTGGAGCGTGGCGTTACCTGTGTGTGTGTGTGGAGCGTGGCGTTACCTGTGTGTGTGTGTGGAGCGTGGCGTTACCTGTGTGTGTGTGGAGCGTGGCGTTACCTGTGTGTGTGTGTGGAGCGTGGCGTTACCTGTGTGTGTGTGTGGAGCGTGGGGTTACCTGTGTGTGTGTGTGTGTGGAGCGTGGCGTTACCTGTGTGTGTGTGTGGAGCGTGGGGTTACCTGTGTGTGTGTGTGTGTGGAGCGTGGCGTTACCTGTGTGTGTGTGGAGCGTGGCGTTACCTGTGTGTGTGTGTGTGGAGCGTGGCGTTACCTGTGTGTGTGTGTGTGGAGCGTGGCGTTACCTGTGTGTGTGTGGAGCGTGGCGTTACCTGTGTGTGTGTGTGGAGCGTGGCGTTACCTGTGTGTGTGTGTGGAGCGTGGGGTTACCTGTGTGTGTGTGTGTGTGGAGCGTGGCGTTACCTGTGTGTGTGTGTGTGGAGCGTGGCGTTACCTGTGTGTGTGTGTGTGGAGCGTGGCGTTACCTGTGTGTGTGTGGAGCGTGGCGTTACCTGTGTGTGTGTGTGGAGCGTGGCGTTACCTGTGTGTGTGTGGAGCGTGGCGTTACCTGTCTTTGAAGAAGCGCCTGATGCCGAACGCCACGAGCTTCAGCGTCGCCTCCACCACAAACGTGGAGCTGAAGAAGTAGTTGCAGTACTGAAGCGTCAGGTCCAGCGACTGAGGGAAACCAGACAGGAGAATCTCACGAGACCGACACACACACGCATCCTCACTGAGAGAAACACTCTGAAGGATTCAAGAACTTTCCCTCTTACAGCATCTCTGAAAAGTCACCGTGAAACCAAAATTGACAAATCTTGTTTTTTGTAATGGAATATTGTAGTGATGCACGATATATCAGCCACCGTATCGGTATCAGACGATATATGTTCATTTTTAATGTTATTGTTATCGGCCAGATATGAAAATTTGGCCGATATATTAAAGCCGATATATAATGGATTATGAGACGCTTCAGATGCGCACTGTTCAACATGATGGTTTTGAATTGCTTGAAATATGATTGGAATCACTTTAAAAAGGAAAATACAGTTCAGTGCAACACAAGTCTGTCATTATCGGTTACCTAACATCATAACGAGAACATCATAATTGTGTGTTTGGGACGTGGCTTTTGTAATCAGGCTCTCAAAAATTACATTCAAATTTGGACTTAGATTTATCGGCTAGTATATCGGTTATCAAATATAAAGAATTATCGGTTATCGGTACTGGCCAAAATTTTCATAATGGTGCATCCTTAAAATATTGCTGTTTGTTGTAAATGATTTATGGAAGCACATTATGAATGAGAATCAGTTCCTCTCGCAGCGTCTCTTCTCTTCTCTGATGATGAGGGCGGGGCTATAACCTGTCACTCACATGAGATCAGCCAATAGCAAACCACAACCATCCAATCAACTCCCCACGGACACAATCAAGCCCCGCCCACATGTGTTCTTGTTCCTGAAGTCAATACCTCGTTACAGTGGAAAACAGATGCTACTAGTCCTCACACTGATGATTCAGGCTTTTCGTTTAAAAGCGCTCTCCGTCCACACTAGCGTTTTCAGGTGTCTCGGTGTGGATGAGAAACTTTTGGAAAACGCCTGAAAACACTAACTTCCCCTTTACTGCGCATGCGTAAACCCTCACAGAAGCTCTGAGATGATACAGACGGAAACATAAATAATAAAGTTATCGCGCAGGATCATTTTATTTAGCGGAATATCTCCTCATTCACGGATGGTCCAGGTCGCTCTCACTCATCATTATATGTTCGGTCTAAAACGCTAAAACTGTTCTCATGTTTCACCGCAGGACAGCAGATGCGAGTGAATCTTCTGTCATCTGTGCAGGACTGTGATATGAAGAGTGTGTGAACTTACATATTTCAGCAACAGTGTGAAAGTGAACCGCACATAACAGGCACAATACCGCTATAAACACGAATATCTATTGGCACATTATGCGTCACATGACTAAACTTACATCATCGCTTTTAAATACCTGCGTTTTGACAGTCCACACCACAACGCGAAACTGTGTTTTCAAATGTATCCACTCTGGAGAGCGTTTTCATTAATATAACGCCGTCTCAGTGTGAACGGAAGGCCAAAACGGAGAGAAAAAAATGCGTTTTGAAATGAAAACGTATTAGTGAGGACAAGGCCTCAAACTCTGGTTCGGACCAAACAGCTGATTGGCTGCAGTGGGTCATGTGACGGTGCTGCTCACCTGTGGTTGGCTGTAGTGCTCCAGGCTCATGGTGACCACATTGATGCAGATGATGAGGGTGATGAAGAGGTCCAGATAATGACTGGTGCAGAACGAGTGAATCATCAGACGAACGCGGCCGTACGAGGCGTAATACGGCAGACGCTGGGCCTCTGCACACACACAAAGTTTATTGTTATTAATATCATCATATCTCGCAAATCTGACTTTATGCTTTAAAATTGTGATATAATCTTGCAAATCTGACTTTTTTCTCGCAATTGCAATTTATAAGTCAGAATTATGAAAATAAACTTGCAATTGCAAGAAATATTCTGCAAAAAAAATCAGAATTGCAATATATAAAATCAAGATTCTTTATGAAAAAGTTGTAATATACAGTATAAATATACTAAGATATTCCGTTTTTTTGATGTATAGACTGATGGATTGATGGATGGATGGATGTATAGACTGATGGATGGATGGATGTATAGACTGATGGATGGATGGATGTATAGACTGATGGATGGATGGATGGATGTATAGACTGATGGATGGATGGATGTATAGACTGATGGATGGATGGATGGATGGATGTATAGACTGATGGATGGATGGATGGATGGATGGATGTATAGACTGATGGATGGATGTATAGACTGATGGATGGATGGATGGATGGATGGATGGATGGGTGGACTGAAGGATGTATAGACTGATGGATGGATGGATGGATGGATGTATAGACTGATGGATGGATGGATGGATGGATGTATAGACTGATGGATGGATGGATGGATGGACTGATGGATGTATAGACTGATGGATGGATGGATGGATGTATAGACTGATGGATGGATGTATAGACTGATGGATGGATGGATGGATGGATGGATGGACTGATGGATGGATGGACTGATGGATGGATGGATGGATGTATAGACTGATGGATGGACTGATGGATGGATGGACTAATGGATGGATGGATGGATGTATAGACTGATGGATGGATGGATGGATGTATGGACTGATGGATGGATGGATGGATGGATGGACTGATGGATGAATGGATGGACTGATGGATGGATGGATGGATGGATGGACTGATGGATGGATGGATGGACTGATGGATGGATGCATGGATGGACTGATGGATGGATGGACTGATGGATGGATGGACTGATGGATGGATGGATGGACTGATGGATGGATGGATGGATGGACTGATGGATGGATGGATGGACTGATGGATGGATGGATAGACTGATGGACTGATGGATGGATGGACTGATGGATGGATGGACTGATGGATGGATAGATGGATGGACTGATGGATGGATGGACTGATGGATGGATGGATGGATGGACTGATGGATGGATAGATGGATGGACTGATGGATGGATGGATGGATGGACCGATGGATGACAGATGGATGGACTGATGGATGGATGGATGGACTGATGGATGGATAGATGGATGGACTGATGGATGGATGGATGGATGGATGGATGGACTGATGGATGGATAGATGGATGGACTGATGGATGAATGGATGTATGGACTGATGGATGGATGGATGGATGGATGGACTGATGGATGGATGGATGGACTGATGGATGGATGGACTGATGGATGGATGGACTGATGGATGGACTGATGGATGGATGGATGGATGGATGGATGGATGGATGGATGGACTGATGGATGGATGGACTGATGGATGATGGATGGATGGACTGATGGATGGATAGATGGATGGACTGATGGATGGATGGATGGATGATGGATGGATGGACTGATGGATGGATAGATGGATGGACTGATGGATGGACTGATGGATGACGGATGGATGGACTGATGGATGGACTGATGGATGGACGGATGGATGGTCTGATGGATGGATGGATGTATAGACTGATGGATGGATGGATGGATGGACTGATGGATAGATGGATTGACTGATGGATGGATGGACGGATGGATGGATGGATAGATGGATGGACTGATGGATGGACTGATGGATGGATGGATGGATGTATAGACTGATGGATGGATGGATGGATGGATGTATAGACTGATGGATGGATGGATGGATGTATAGACTGATGGATGGATGGATGGATGTATAAACTGATGGATGGATGGATGGATGGATGGATGTATAGACTGATTGATGGATGATGGATGTATAGACTGATGGATGGATGGATGAATGGATGGACTGATGGATGGATGATGATAGACTGATGGATGGATGGATGGACTGATGGATGGATGGACTGATGGATGGATAGACTGATGGATGGATGGATTGATGGATGGATGGACTGATGGATGGATGGATGGATGGACTGATGGATGAATAGATGGATAGACTGATGGATGGATGTATAGACTGATGGATGGATGGATGTATAGACTGATGGATGGATGGATGGATGGATGGATGGATGTATAGACTGATTGATGGATGATGGATGTATAGACTGATGGATGGATGGATGAATGGATGGACTGATGGATGGATGATGATAGACTGATGGATGGATGGATGGATGGATGGACTGATGGATGGATGGACTGCTGGATGGATGGATGGATGTATAGACTGATGGATGGACTGATGGATGGATGGACTGATGGATGGATGGATGGATGGATGTATAGACTGATGGATGGATGGATGTATGGACTGATGGATGGATGGATGGACTGATGGATGATGGATGGATGGACTGATGGATGGATGGATGGATGGACTGATGGATGGATGGATAGATGGATGGACTGATGGATGGATGGATGGATGGACTGATGGATGGATGGATGGACTGATGGATGGATGGATCGATAGACTGATGGATGGATGGACTGATGGATGGATGGACTGATGGATGGATAGATGGATGGACTGATGGATGGATGGACTGATGGATGGATGGATGGATGGATGGATGGATGGACTGATGGATGATGGATGGATGGACTGATGGATGGATGGATGGACTGATGGATGGATAGATGGATGGACTGATGGATAGATGGATGGATGGACTGATGGATGACGGATGGATGGACTGATGGATGGATAGATGGATGGACTGATGGATGGATGGATGGACTGATGGATGGATAGATGGATGGACTGATGGATGGATGGATGGATGGACTGATGGATGGATGGATGTATGGACTGATGGATGGATGGATGGACTGATGGATGGATGGATGGACTGATGGATGGATGGATGGATGGATGGACTGATGGACTGATGGATGGATGGATGGACTGATGGATGGATGGACTGATGGATGGATAGATGGATGGACTGATGGATGGATGGATGGATGGACTGATGGATGATGGATGGATGGACTGATGGATGATGGGTGGATGGACTGATGGATGGATAGATGGATGGACTGATGGATGGACTGATGGATGGATGGATGGATGGACTGATGGATGATGGATGGATGGACTGATGGATGATGGGTGGATGGACTGATGGATGGATAGATGGATGGATAGATGGATGGACTGATGGATGGATGGATGGATGGACTGATGGATGATAGATGGATGGACTGATGGATGATGGGTGGATGGACTGATGGATGGATGGATGTATAGGCTGATGGATGGATGGATGGATGGATGGACTGATGGATGGATGGACGGATGGATGGATGAACTGATGGATGGATAGATGGATGGACTGATGGATGGACTGATGGATGGATGGATGTATAGACTGATGGATGGATGGATGGATGTATAGACTGATGGATGGATGGATGTATAGACTGATGGATGGATGGATGTATAGACTGATGGATGGATGGATGGATGGATGGATGTATAGACTGATTGATGGATGATGGATGTATAGACTGATGGATGGATGGATGGATGAATGGATGGACTGATGGATGGATGATGATAGACTGATGGATGGATGGATGGACTGATGGATGGATGGACTGATGGATGGATGGACTGATGGATGGATGGATGGATGGATGGATGGATGGATGGATGGATGGATGGACTGATGGATGGATAGATGGATGGACTGATGGATGTATAGACTGATGGATGGATGGATGGATGTATAGACTGATGGATGGATGGATTTATAGACTGATGGATGGATGGATGGATGGATGGATGGATGGATGTATAGACTGATGGATGGATGGATGGATGGATGGATGGATGTTTAGACTGATTGATGGATGATGGATGTATAGACTGATGGATGGATGGATGAATGGATGGACTGATGGATGGATAGACTGATGGATGGATGGACTGATGGATGGATAGACTGATGGATGGATGGACTGATGGATGGATGGATGGACTGATGGATGGATGGATGGATGGATGGATGGATGGATGGATGGACTGATGGATGGATGGATGATGATAGACTGATGGATGGATAGACTGATGGATGGATGGATAGACTGATGGATGGATGGATAGACTGATGGATGGATGGATAGACTGATGGATGGATGGATGGACTGATGGATGGATGGATAGACTGATGGATGGATGGATGGATAGACTGATGGATGGATGGATGGATAGACTGATGGATGGATGGATAGACTGATGGATGGATGGATGGACTAATGGATGGATGGATAGACTGATGGATGGATGGATAGACTGATGGATGGATGGATAGACTGATGGATGTATGTATGTATGTATAGACTTGATTCATTCATTCATTCATAGAGTGATAGAGTGATGGAGTGATGGAGTGATAGAGTGATGGGTGTATGAGCTCTTACTGCGCCTCCTCCTGTCGAGCCGCTGCTGCCGCTTCTCCTGCCGCCGCTGGAACTCCTCCACCTCCTGATGCTGACGGCACTTGTGGAAGTTCTCCACCACCACTCCCACAAACATGTTCAGCACGAAGAAGCTGACGATCAGCAGGAACGAGATGAAGTACAGCAGCATCCAGGGGCTGTTGTTTTTGACGGGCTGAACAGAGACGCACAAGAGAATCATCTGAATCCTGATCGGGCGAGCGAATATTAAAATATCATTATTATCATTATTATATCATTATCTCATTCTCTGAACCAACTTCTCAATAGCTTAAACCAATTTGTCGAATAAATCACTCTTTCTGTAAATGAGCAGCATTTACAAACACACACATGCTCACACACACATGCTCACACACACGCTCTCACACACACACACACGCACACACACAACGACTCAATATTGTTCACACTAATTTCTAATGATGTGACAAAACCAACAAGTCAGTTCAGAGCCAAAACTGATGAGGAAGAGGGAGAGGGAGAGGAGGATGAGGAAGAGGAGGAAGAGGAAGAAGAGGAGGGTGAAGATGAGAAAGAGGAATAGGGAGAGGATGAAGAGGATGAGGGAGAGGAAGAGGAGGTGTGGAGAATGTTGTCTTGGCTGAATCTGGAACACTAGAGTTTTTTTTCCCTTTGCCTGGCAAGAGACGACAATCCGTGCGTGCGTGTGTGTGTGTGTGTGTGTGTGTGTGCGTGTTTGAGGGCATGTGCATGTGCGTGTGTGTGTGTGTGAGAGAGAGAGAGTGTGAGCATGCGTGTGTGTGAGCGTGTGTGTGTGTGTGTGTGTGTGTGTGTGTGTGTGTGTGAGCGTGCGTGTGTTTGTGTGAGTGAGTGTGTGTCAGCGTGTGTGTGTGTGTGTGTGAGCGTGTGTGTGTGTGTGTGTGTGTGCGTGTGTGTGTGTGTGTGATTACCTGTTGGTCGATCCCGACAGCATCCAGCCCATGGTACATGATATTTACCCATCCGTCTTTAGATGCCAACACAAACAGTGACATCAGAGCCTGAAATGGAAAACCACCGAACAAACAGTCACACACACACACACACACACACAGCAGATCAGCAGCAGAAAGTCAAGATTACACGGATTTCCTCCGTAGGATTTAAAATATTATTATCTTTAATCACACACTCCCATGATGCACTATGAATGATGTCATCAAGTTGTTCTCAACAATCTCAAACCATTTATATTTTTTGTATGAAAATTAATATTAATATTAACATAAAATGTTAAGATACTATTTTAAACTTGTAATTGTATTTTTATAAAGATTTATTGTGGAGTGATGGAAACTAAGGGAAAAATAAAACATAAATGAATTCAACATACTGATAATAACTATAATAGTATCTCAATGATACTAAAGCAACACTGGTTCAGATATGGACGTTCAGCTCAAAACTCTATATTGGAGAATATTTAGTAATGTCTATGGAGAAAGAAAGACTTTGGGAATCATGAAGAGACGGATCGGACCCTCACCTGCCCCAGGTTGTCAAAGTTGTACTTGTGATGAACCCAGCGGTAATTCACGGACAGACAGTCGGATTTATTGGTGATGTTCTTCACATCCAAACCCACACAGTAAAAGAACTTCCCTTTGAAGAGCTGTTGAGACACACACACACACACACAGAGAGAGAGAGAGAGAGAGAGAGTGAGATCAGCGTCTGGCGGAGCAGGGCGAGAGATCAGCGATGACTGAGTGTGAGTGAGATTAACCTGAACTCCCAGGATGCCGAAGATGATGAAGAAAGCGCAGCAGATCAAGACGATGTTTCCGATGGGCTTCAGCGACGTGATCAGAGTCTCCACCACCAGCTTCAGTCCTGGAGCGCGACTGATCACCCTGAGGAACCATGAACAACACAGTCAGAACCACACAGAACCGCACAGAACCACACAGAACCGCACAGAACCACAGAGAACCGCACAGAATGACGGAGAACCACACAGAACCGCACAGAACCACACAGAACCACAGAGAACCGCACAGAACCGCACAGAACCGCACAGAACCACAGAGAACCCCACAGAACCACACAGAACCACAGAGAACTGCACAGAATGACGGAGAACCACACAGAACCGCACAGAACCACACAGAACCACAGAGAACCGCACAGAATGACAGAGAACCACACAGAACCCCACAGAACCACAGAGAACCGCACAGAACCACACAGAACCACACAGAACCACAGAGAACCACAGAGAACCGCACAGAACCACACAGAACCACACAGAACCACAGAGAACCACAGAGAACCGCACAGAATGACGGAGAACCGCACAGAACCGCACAGAACCACACAGAACCCCACAGAACCACAGAGAACCGCACAGAACCGCACAGAACCACACAGAACCCCACAGAACCACAGAGAACCGCACAGAACCACACAGAACCACACAGAACCACAGAGAACCGCACAGAACCAGTCAGAACCCCACAGAACCGCAGAGAACCGCACAGAATGACGGAGAACCGCACAGAACCGCACAGAACCACACAGAACCACAGAGAACCACACAGAACCCCACAGAACCACAGAGAACCGCACAGAACCGCACAGAACCACACAGAACCCCACAGAACCACAGAGAACCGCACAGAACCACACAGAACCCCACAGAACCACAGAGAACCGCACAGAACCGCACAGAACCACACAGAACCACACAGAACCCCACAGAACCACAGAGAACCACAGAGAACCGCACAGAACCACAGAGAACCGCAAAGAACCGCACAGAACCACACAGAACCACAGAGAACGCACAGAACCGCATAGAACCACAGAGAAACGCATAAAACCACAGAAAACCCCACAGAACCGCACAGAACCCCACAGAACCGCAGAGAACCACACAGAAACAAACAGAACCGCACAGAACCACACAGAACCACAGAGAAACGCATAGAACCACAGAACCGCACAGAACCACCGAGAACCACACAGAACTCCACAGAACCGCACAGAAACAAACAGAACCGCACAGAACCACACAGAACCACAGAGAACCACACAGAAACACAAAGAACCGCACAGAACAACACAGAACCCCACATAACCACACATAACCGCACAGAACCCCACATAACCACACAGAACCACACAGAACCACACAGAAAACACACGGAACCGCACAGAACAACACAGAACCCCACATAACCGCACATAACCGCACAGAACCACACAGAACCGCACAGAACCACAGATAACCACACAGAACCACACAGAAACACACAGAACCGCACAGAACAACACAGAACCACACATAACCGCACAGAACCACATAGAACCACACAGAACCGCACAGAACCCCACATAACCACACATAACCGCACAGAACCGCACAGAACCGCACAGAACCACACAGAACCCCACAGACCAACACAGAACCACACAGAACCACAGAGAACCACACATAACCGCACAGAACCCCACAGAACCGCACATAACCGCAGAGAACCCCACATAACCACACATAACCGCACAGAACCGCACAGAACCACACAGAACCACAGAGAACCCCACAGACCAACACAGAACCGCACAGAACCACAGAGAACCACACATAACCGCACAGAACCCCACAGAACCGCACATAACCGCACATAACCCCACATAACCACACATAACCGCACATAACCACACAGAACCACATAGAACCGCACAGAACCCCACAGAACCGCACATAACCACACAGATCCGCACATAACCACACAGAACCACACAGAACCGGCACAGAACCCCACAGAACCGCACATAACCACAGAGAACAGCAGATAACCCCACAGACCCGCACATAACCACAGAGAACCTTACAGAACCACACAGAACCGCACAGAACCCCACAGAACTGCACATAACCACAGAGAACCTCACAAAACCACACATAACCACAAAGAACTGCATAGAACCGTATAGAACCACACAGAACCACATTATAACCACACAGAACCACATAGAACCGCACAGAACCCCACAGAACAGCAGATAACCCCACAGACCCGCACATAACCACAGAGAACCTTACAGAAACACACAGAACCGCATAGAACCACACAGAACCGCACAGAACCCCACAGAACCGCACATAACCACAGAGAACCTCACAAAACCACACATAACCACAAAGAACTGCATAGAACCGTATAGAACCACACAGAACCGCACATAACCACAGAGAACCGCACAGAACCAGTCAGAACCACACAGAACTGCATAGAACCACACAAAAACCGCACAGAACCACACAGAACTGCATAGAACCACACAGAACCGCACATAACCACAGAGAACCTCACAGAACCAGTCAGAACCACACAGAACTGCATAGAACCACACAGAACCGCATCAGAACCACACAGAACCGCACAGAACCCCACAGAACCAGTCAGAACCACACAGAACTGCATGGAACCACACAGAACCCCACAGAACCCCACATAACCACACATAACCGCACAGAACCGCACAGAACCGCACAGAACCACACAGAACCCCACAGACCAACACAGAACCACACAGAACCACAGAGAACCACACATAACCGCACAGAACCCCACAGAACCGCACATAACCGCACAGAACCCCACATAACCACACATAACCGCACAGAACCACACAGAACCACACAGAACCACAGAGAACCCCACAGACCAACACAGAACCGCACAGAACCACAGAGAACCACACATAACCGCACAGAACCCCACAGAACCGCACATAACCGCACATAACCACACATAACCGCACATAACCACACAGAACCACATAGAACCGCACAGAACCCACAGAACCGCACATAACCACACAGAACCGCACATAACCACACAGAACCACACAGAACCACACAGAACCGCACAGAACCCCCACAGAACCGCACATAACCACAGAGAACAGCAGATAACCCCCACAGACCCGCACATAACCACAGAGAACCTTACAGAACCACACAGAACCGCACAGAACCCCACAGAACTGCACATAACCACAGAGAACCTCACAAAACCACACATAAACCACAAAGAACTGCATAGAACCGTATAGAACCACACAGAACCACATATAACCACACAGAACCACATAGAACCGCACAGAACCCACAGAACAGCAGATAACCCCACAGACCCGCACATAACCACAGAGAACCTTACAGAAACACACAGAACCGCATAGAACCACACAGAACCGCACAGAACCCCACAGAACCGCACATAACCACAGAGAACCTCACAAAACCACACATAACCACAAAGAACTGCATAGAACCGTATAGAACCACACAGAACCGCACATAACCACAGAGAACCGCACAGAACCAGTCAGAACCACACAGAACTGCATAGAACCACACAAAACCGCACAGAACCACACAGAACTGCATAGAACCACACAGAACCGCACATAACCACAGAGAACCTCACAGAACCCCACAGAACCGCACATAACCACAGAGAACCCCACAGAACCAGTCAGAACCACACAGAACTGCATAGAACCACACAGAACCGCACAGAACCACACAGAACCGCACAGAACCCCACAGAACCAGTCAGAACCACACAGAACTGCATGGAACCACACAGAACCGCACAGAACCTCACAGAACCCCACAGAACCGCACAGAACCACACAGAACCCCACAGAACCGCACATAACCACAGAGAACCTCACAGAACCCCACAGAACCGCACATAACCACAGAGAACCGCACAGAACCAGTCAGAACCACACAGAACTGCATAGAACCACACAGAACCGCACAGAACCACACAGAACCACACAGAACCCCACATAACCCCACAGAACCGCACATAACCACAGAGAACCTCACAGAACCCCACAGAACCGCACATAACCAAAGAGAACCCCACAGAACCAGTCAGAACCACACAGAACCACACAGAACTGCATAGAACCACACAGAACCGCACAGAACCGCACAGAACCACACAGAACCGCACAGAACCAGTCAGAACCACACAGAACTGCATAGAACCACACAGAACCGCACAGAACCTCACAGAACCCACAGAACCGCACAGAACCACACAGAACCCACAGAACCGCACATAACCACAGAGAACCTCACAGAACCCCACAGAACCGCACATAACCATAGAGAACCACACAGAACCAGTCAGAACCACACAGAACCACACAGAACCGCACAGAACCACACAGAACCCCACAGAACCGCACAGAACCGCACAGAACCACACAGAACCGCACAGAACCCCACAGAACTGCACATAACCACAGAGAACTCACAAAACCACACATAACCACAAAGAACTGCATAGAACCGTATAGAACCACACAGAACCACAGAGAACCGCACAGAACCAGTCAGAACCACACAGAACCAGCCGAGACCCGGACAACCAACCGCACAGACTCGACAGCCAATAACAGGGTATTTTCATGGTAACACTTTACAATAAGGTTCATTAGTTAACATTAGTTTTTTATTCATATCTATATTCTGAAGGGCTGAGTTCAGATATCATTCACCTGATTTACACACATGTGTACTGATAAAACCTGTTTGATTTCTGATTTATGGAGTGATAAAAGGAGAATCCTTTAGTAAAAACCTTTAACTAATGTCAACAATGTCTTTCACTTATCTTGTTATCACTATCCAGTGTTCAGATTTCTGTTCTAAAAAATGTATGCAATCAGTGCATATTTAATTATACAATGCCTCATTAGGACGGTTAAACATAACGTTTGACAAAATAATTGTGATACAAAACAACTGTCGTAATACTGTGATTAATCAACTGGGGAACGGCTGGTGATTTATACCTCTTCACCTGTAGAGTCATGAACCTGCAGTCAGTGTGTGTCAGTGAGTGTGGCGCTGCTCTAAAGAAAGTGTGTGTTGTCGTCGTGACCTGAGCGGGCGTAATGTCCTCAGCAGTCGCAGCACCCGCAGCACGCCCAGGATCTTGGCTCCGCCCGCCATCGACACCACAATGTCAATCAGAGACACGAACACGAGAAAACCATCCAGAACGTTCCAGCTGCTGCGCAGATACGCTCGATCGCCCAGATACAGGCCTTAGACACCACCTGACACACAGAGAGAGAGAGCAGGGAGGGAGAGAGAGGAGAGAGAAAGAGAGAGGGGAGAGAGAAAGAGAGAGGGGAGAGAGAGAGAGAGAGGGGAGAGAGGGAGAGAGAGAGAGAGAGAGAGAGAGAGAGAGAGAGAGAGAGAGAGAGAGAGAGAGAGAGAGAGAGAGAGAGAGAGAGAGAGAGAGAGAGAAAGAGAGAGGGGAGAGAGAGAGAGAGAGGGGAGAGAGAGAGAGAGAGAGAGAGAGAGAGAGAGAGAGAGAGAGAGAGAGAGAGAGAGAGAGAGAGAGAGAGAGAGAGAGAGAGAGAGAGAGAGAGAGAGAGAGAGAGAGATTTTAATAACAAACTTTATTCGATCATGATATCAAAAGAATAAATATTACACCAATTTCAAATCCACACAAGTTCAAAAAATAGCTCCTCCTCCACAACCGTACAAAAAATAGACTTGTAACACCACTGTAATTTAAAAGTTTCTATATCGTTCATTGCTTTATAGTACTTAAACTCCACAACAATTCTTGACTTGATAAACGCTTTAAATAAGACTATAATCTCCTGACCACTCCTATTTTCTATTCTGTTCTTCCTTGTTTTATAAATTGCGAGCTTTGCCTGTCCAAACAGAAAGTTAAGCAGCTGCCATTTAACCCTTTGCTTTTGATTGTATCCTGCCCCTAAAATAAAAACATCTGGTGTAAACTTTTCCCCACATTTACCACATAACAAATCCAACAAATTAAAAAGAGTTTGAAGTCTTTCACACTCCAAATAACAATGAAAAATAGTTTCTCTAGATCCACAAAACACACATTTATCATCAGTAATTGGATTAATGACTGAAATAAAAGCGTTAACAGCCACAGCCCCATGTAATATTCGCCATTGTAAGTCACCAGATCGTTTGGTCAATGGTGGTTTGTACAGCACTCTCCACACAGGTTTCTTGTGCTCTGTCAACCCAAGTTTATCCCTCCACACTGTATCAACCCTCCCATTTAGTGTTCCTTTATTAAAAGATTTTACAAAGCATTTATACATCACTTTCCCTTCGACTTCATTCAGATCTAAATTTTGCAGTCCGCTGAGATCCAGCAAAGGTCCTGACATTTCTTTTAAGTCTGGTGTAATCCCAAGTTTTGGAAATGGGTCTCTTATATCCAGAGTCACTTGTCCATTCTTAAAATCCTTTATTAAATTCAATTCTCCACTTGTCATTCTTGTTTTCCACATATCCACTAAAATTTGTGTGTGGCGCGTTGACCTCTGACCCAACAAAATTGCTACTGCATTTATATCACTCATCTCAGGTCCAGCCACATTAACTATATGCTTCAATGCCACAGTTTTAGAAGCACACAGTATCTGCGTAAGTCCCAGAACATTCTCACTTGCAATATCCATGCGAGCTCCTTTGATTAGAGGTTCTTCAAGTAACCAGTACAAAGAATTGGTCTCCTCCAGTCTGCAAACATTTAACAGTCCCCACACTTTAAAAAGTTCACAATAAAATCGAGGCACTCCAGTCAATCGTAGTTGTTTAGCATCCATTAGAAACAGCGCAGCATCCAGTCCAAGCGCATCTACTGTGTGTAAAATCGTTTTTTGCCATCTTCCTCCACACCAGATCAACAGGACCAGTCAGAAATTTCTGAATAAACTGCAGACGAAAGGTAGCATGTCTGCTTGGTAAGTGCACCAAGCCTTGTCCTCCCTCTTCTTTCGGAAGAAAGAGCACACTTTGAGGAACCCAGTGTAAACAATCCCAAAAAAAAATTCACTAGAATGACCTGTAATCGGGACAGCAGTCCAGCAGGTGGATCTACACAAGATAATCTATGCCACAATGTAGAGGCAACCAAGTTGTTGATGATTAAAACTCTTCCTCTAAATGACAATTGTGAGTGAATCCATTTCCATTTTTTCAATTTTCCTTCTATTTTTTCAATCACCCCTTCCCAGTTCTTTTGTTGGGTATTTAAATCCCCAAGATGTACTCCTAGATATTTAAAACCTTCTTTCTTCCAACTCAACCCACCAGGTAGTTTTGGTAGCCCTTCCTCCCATTTCCCAACAGCCAGTGCTTCACTCTTCTCCCAATTAACCTTTGCGGCAGAAATGATTCCAAAATCATCAACAACAGAAACCAGCTGATTAATGTCTCGTTGCCCATTTACCAACACAATTACATCATCGGCATATGCTGAAATTTGATGCTGTATATCATGATACAACGTTAAACCTTTGATCTTGTTTCTTAATTTATTCAGCATTGGTTCAATAGCTAAGGAGTAAAGCATTCCAGACAGTGCACAACCTTGTCTGATCCCTCTACTAGCTTTAAAAGGGGCACTCAAACCACCATTGACCTTCAGCAAACTCTCAGTGTCCTGGTACAACACTTTTATCATACCAACAAATCCAGAACTAAAACCAAAAGCTTCTAGTGTGTCCCATAGATACTGATGCTCAACTCTATCGAATGCTTTTTCTTGGTCAATAGAGATAACCCCCAAATTTACCCCTAAAAGACTCGAAACACTTAAAATATCCCGTATGAGACAGACATTATCTGTGATTGACCTACCCGGCACACAATACGTCTGATCAAAATGAATGACTTGCCCCATCACTTTTCTCAGTCTATTAGCTAGAGTCTTAGAAAGGACCTTAAGATCAGAACAAAGCAAACTCACAGGTCTCCAGTTCTTGATCTCCTGCAAATCACCCTTTTTAGAAGCAATGTGATCACTGCTCTCCTACAGCTCAAGGGTAAAGAGCCATCAGCCAAGCTTTCATTTAGGACTTCCAGCAGGGTCCTCGCCCAGCACAGCCCAAAACTCTTTATAAAACTCAGCTGGAGTCCATCCATCCCAGGAGCCTTTCCACTCTCTATGCCCTTGAGAGCATTCAGAAGCTCCTCTTCCGACAAAGGCCTCTCCAGCTCTGCCTTTGAGGTCCTCCGAGACATTTGGCAGACCTTCATAGAAGCAAGACGGACAACTCCTCGTCCTTTCTATATTCGCTACTATACAATTTGTCATAGAACTGTACAGCTCGTTTTCTAATATCAGATGTCTTTGTCAATTCCTGCCCATTTTCAGAGCGTAAGGAGTGAATATAGCGACTCTGGCCGTTCTTTTTTTTCAAGACTAAAGAAAAACTTAGATGGGGCATCCATTTGCGTTAAATTTTGAAAGCGAGATCGGACCAGAGCCCCCTTTGCTTTAATGCCGAGCAAATCTGACAGAAGAGATGTCTTAGTTTTAAGTGTCTCGATATGTCTTCCCTCCCCAGTAATCTCTGCTAACCCTTGTGCCTCCATTATTTTCAGACTCAAGTTTTTTCATTGATCTAGTTATGTCCCGAGAGACACTGAAAGTATACTGTTGACAAAGTACTTTCACTTCAACCTTGCCATAGTCCCACCACTGACGTAAATTTTGAAAACATGGTTTTCTTAATTTAAAATCATTCCAAAAAGAGACAAAAACATCTCTAAAATGCACATCATTTAACAGGGAAGTGTTAAAATGCCAATATGCACTCTTTGGCTTCACATTTTATTATAAAACACATTACATGTGACTAGACAATGATCAGAAAAACCAGTTGGTGTAATAAAAACAACTTTTCACAACGTTAAAATGATGCTTAAAACAATAAAACCTGTCCAATCTGGCTAAAGAAATAAAATTTTCTCTATTATGTACCCACGTGTACTGTCTTACATTATTATTTAGATCCCTCCATATATCACATAAGCTATGGGTCTCAATCAGTTCATTTAAAGCACGACTTGAACCAACATGAGGTTCCATATGATTCCGGTCTAATCTATAATTCTCTGTACAATTAAAGTCCCCACCCAAAAACAGAAATTCATCAGAGCTACAATTCTGTAGAATTGTATTAACATTTTTGAGAAAGAGTACTCTTTCGTTACCATTTGTTGGAGCATAAACATTAATAAAAACAGCCTTGAATTTTTCAAACTGAGCCCTTACAAATATTATTCTGCCAGACACCACATGTTTAACCTCACATGAGATAGGTAAGAAATTCTTAGCAAAAAGGACAGCCACCCCTCTCTAGTAGAGCTCATGTGAGAAAGAAAAGCTTCACCCTCCCATTCTTTTTTCCAGTCAATTTCATTAATACAGTCACTGTAGTGTTTCTTGGACAAACATTACATCAATATTCTTTTGTCTGATAAGCTCAAAAAGTATTGCTCTTTTATGTATATCTCGGGCTCCATTCAAAATTAAGAGAGCTCACCCTCATAACACTCATTAAAATAAATAGTATGAGGGGACATAAACCAAACAAAAACATGAGAAAAACAGCGATTATGTGGTTTCGAAGCCATCTTCAGTTTGTACTTCTAATTTCAGTTTGGAAACAAGTTTCCTTAATCTGTATATTTCCTGAACCGTAAACTGTCCGCCTCCTTCACTTCTCATTAGCATTGTTACTTGAATTAATAAACATTCTGCGGTCAGCAAAAAAATCCTCAAACTGGACATTTTTCACATTTTTGGTTTTTGCAGGAATGACTTTACTTTGTCAAAGTTGTAATCACTGCGTCGACTTCGTCCTGTACTGTCCACTACTTCACCATCAGAGTCATCAATCGTACTGCCTTCAGTATCATCAAGTTTTTCAGAATCTGTTTTTGTTTGTCTGCTCATTTTAGTTGTTCCCGTACTCTTCCTATTTCTCTTTCTCTTAGTATTGGGTACTTTGAAAAGTGTTTCATCATTAGCAATGTCTGTTACCCATCTCTTCCTCCTCTACAATGGACTCAGCCACTGTGTCAATTTTTTCCTCAACATTTTCTGTGTTCCCCCCCGCAATAACAATAGACACTATATCAGTTTCTTTCTCCCCGCTATCTGTATTTCGCCCCGTTGCATTACTGCCATCATCTTCATTAACAGAATCCTCAGTCACCATCGTGCTACTGTTATCACGCGCTGCTTCTGCGCTCGGCCCCGGCTCTGCGTCTACACCATCCGCTCTCTCAGGACACGCACGCCTAACGTGCCCCGTTTGCCCACAGCCAAAACACTTCATAGTATCAGACGATACAAACACAATGTAATCAAAACCATCAATTCTGAATTTAAAAGATACATTCAGTTCATCCAAATCACTCTTTAGGATCATATGTAATTGCCGTCTAAAACACACAACATGTTTAAGCAAGGGCGACTTACACACCCTAGTGGAATCCTTTTCATTTGTGAGACAACTTTTCCATGCCTAGACAATTCATTAATCAAGAGCTCATCTTTAATGAAAGGTGGTACATTGGATAATGTTATCTTTCTTGCCGGTTTGAACAAGCGGTACTACTGGAGTAAAAGTGTCCTGTATTACTACTCCGCTCTGAACTACACTGTTTACTTTCTCAATTGTATCAAGGAAGATAACCACAGCACTGTTCATTCGAGAGGCCGATATTATGCTATCAAAACCAACAGCGTTTCCCACAGCCAAACTACAATCCTCCACAGAGCAGTTCATCACAGGTGCGAGTTTTATCCCATGCCTGCGTGAAAGTTGCTCAAACTTTGTTTGACTTGGACCCGCCATTTCTGACCAGCAAAGCGCTGGTTAACAGCGTTCCTCAAACCCCCCACTCCTTAAACTTTCTTTGTATTCTTTTCAAACAATTTTAAACCAAAAACCCTAAACAGGGACCGTATAAAATGAAAGAAAGAAAGAAAGAATAGACTCACTCGCACCGCAGCACTCTCACTCACACACGCCGACTCCGCCCACTCACTCACAGCATCCGCTCAGAGAGAGAGAGAGAGAGAGAGAGAGAGAGAGAGAGAGAGAGAGAAGAGAGAGAGAGAGAGAGAGAGAGAGAGAGAGAAGAGAGAGAGAGAGAGAGAGAGAGAGAGAGATCTGCTTTTATAAACAAAACAGTATGTTGAACCTTTACCTCAAAGTATTAAATTGTATATTTGTATTAGAAGTATTCGAGACGGGAATTACCTTGAGATACTGTCTGTAGTATTGCATTGATACTGTAGTATTGCATTGATACTGTAGTATTGTATTGATACAGTAGTATTGCACTGATACTGTAGTATTGTATTGATACTGTAGTATTGTATTGATACTGTAGTATTGCATTGATACTGTAGTATTGCATTGATACTGTAGTATTGTATTGATACTGTAGTATTGCATTGATACTGTAGTATTGTATTGATACTGTAGTATTGCATTGATACTGTAGTATTGTATTGATACTGTAGTATTGTATTCGATACTGTAGTATTGCATTGATACTGTAGTATTGACATGATACTGTAGTATTGTATTGATACTGTAGTATTGCATTGATACTGTAGTATTGCATTGATACTGTAGTATTGCATTGATACTGTAGTATTGACATGATACTGTAGTATTGCATTGATACTGTAGTATTGCATTGATACTGTAGCATTGCATTGATACTGTTGTATTGCATTGATACTGTAGTATTGCATCGATACTGTAGTATTGACATGATACTGTAGTATTGCATTGATACTGTAGTATTGCATTGATACTGTAGTATTGTATTGATACTGTAGTATTGCATTGATTCTGTATTGATACTGTAGTATTGCATTGATACTGTAGTATTGCATTGATACTGTAGTATTGACATGATAGTGTAGTATTGTATTGATACTGTAGTATTGACATGATACTGTAGTATTGCATTGATACTGTAGTATTGCATTGATACTGTAGTATTGTATTGATACTGTAGTATTGCATTGATACTGTAGTATTGCATTGATACTGTAGTATTGCATTGATACTGTAGTATTGCATTGATACTGTAGTATTGCATTGATACTGTAGTATTGCATTGATACTGTAGTATTGTATTGATACTGTAGTATTGTATTGATACTGTAGTATTGCATTGATACTGTAGTATTGTATTGATACTGTAGTATTGCATTGATACTGTAGTATTGCATTGATACTGTAGTATTGTATTGATACTGTAGTATTGCATTGATACTGTAGTATTGTATTGATACTGTAGTATTGTATTGATACTGTAGTATTGCATTGATACTGTAGTATTGACATGATACTGTAGTATTGTATTGATACTGTAGTATTGCATTGATACTGTAGTATTGTATTGATACTGTTGTATTGCATTGATACTGTAGTATTGCATTGATACTGTAGTATTGACATGATACTGTAGTATTGCATTGATACTGTAGTATTGACATGATACTGTAGTATTGTATTGATACTGTAGTATTGCATTGATACTGTAGTATTGACATGATACTGTAGTATTGTATTGATACTGTAGTATTGACATGATACTGTAGTATTGCATTGATACTGTAGTATTGCATTGATACTGTAGTATTGTATTGATACTGTAGTATTGCATTGATACTGTAGTATTGCATTGATACTGTAGCATTGCATTGATACTGTAGTATTGCATTGATACTGTAGTATTGCATTGATACTGTAGTATTGCATTGATACTGTAGTATTGTATTGATACTGTAGTATTGCTTTGATACTGTAGTATTGCATTGATACTGTAGCATTGCATTGATACTGTAGCATTGCATTGATACTGTAGCATTGCATTGATACTGTAGTATTGTATTGATACTGTAGTATTGTATTGATACTGTAGTATTGCATTGATACTGTAGTATTGTATTGATACTGTAGTATTGTATTGATACTGTAGCATTGCATTGATACTGTAGTATTGCATTGATACTGTAGCATTGCATTGATACTGTAGTATTGTAATTGATACTGTAGTATTGTATTGATACTGTAGTATTGCATTGATACTGTAGTATTGACATGATACTGTAGTATTGTATTGATACTGTAGTATTGACATGATACTGTAGTATTGATACTGTATATTGCATTGATACTGTAGTATTGTATTGATACTGTAGTATTGTATTGATACTGTAGTATTGCATTGATACTGTAGTATTGTATTGATACTGTAGTATTGTATTGATACTGTAGTATTGCATTGATACTGTAGTATTGCATTGATACTGTAGCATTGCATTGATACTGTAGTATTGCATTGATACTGTAGCATTGCATTGATACTGTAGTATTGTATTGATACTGTAGTATTGCATTGATACTGTAGTATTGCATTGATACTGTAGCATTGTATTGATACTGTAGTATTGCATTGATACTGTAGTATTGCATTGATACTGTAGTATTGCATTGATACTGTAGCATTGCATT